TCTGCACACCAGAAAAGCGTATATAGAGTTACTATGAGAAGTATTTTACATAGCAATACTGTTTGATATTTTATCAATTAAAGGTACATCATTGTTAAATGGAAAATGCAGAGCTTGTGTAGAGGTGACAGTAATGATTACATTAAAATGACGCCTAAACATAATTTGAAGAAAGGCATTAATAGCTTCTTTACCCATCTTCTCTGGATGGCGGAACTGTGAATTTTTTGGTAAATCCTCAATTTTTTTCTAATTTTTCAATTATGATTATTTTTATAATTTAAAAATGTTCCTTAAAGAAGTAAATTAGGATCTAGAAGAATTTTTTTGGTGAAAGGAGGGAGATCAGTGTTGGTCATTTCAGTGTTAATGGAAATTAGTTTAAAAGATGCTTGTCTCCAGGGTATCAAGTTTGGCCTTGCTAAGGGAACACATTCCCCGGTGGCCCAGATGGTAAAGAATCCACCTGTAATGCAGGAGACTTGGGTTCAACCCCTGGCTCAGGAAGATGCCTTAGAGAAGGAAATGGCTACCCACTCTACATTCTTGCCTGGGAAATCCCATGGACAGAGGAACCTGGCAGGCTGCAGTCCATTTTGTTGCAGAAGAGTTGGACACAACTTAGTGACTAAACAACAGCCACTGTCTTATTGGGACACAAATGGCCACCATACTCAGAGAGTGATTTTGGAATGATGGAATATTAATGCATGTATAAAGGTGAATGAAATAAATGAAGGTGAACTTTCGAATAATTTAACCCAAAACAGTTTCTTCTTTTCTGAAGATCACCCTGTGAGTTTATTTAAAATGATGGTTGTAGAAGTTTCTGGAAGATTTTGATGGCCAGCTTGGGACTTTTCTGTGATGAGGCTAGCTGTCCAGCTCCGAGCTGCACAGGAGTTTTTCACTCTAGTGAACTCACCAGGATCTGAGGCGTGGTTAGGAGAGCACCTCCTTGCACAAGTTTTACCAACGCCTCTGAGTTATTTGGACTCAGTGGCACTGATCTGGGCTCTGGTTTCATTTTAAATGAACAGTCTCAAAAATTCCAATAAACTCTCCACACTAGCAGAGAGTGAGCTTTCTTCCCCACTTTCTGAGATGACTCACATTATCTTCTCTAGTGAAACCTCCTACCTCATACTTGCCCATCCTGAGTTGATAACTTTGCCTCATCCTTCACTTGAAAACATTGAAACATTCCCTCAGTGCATCAAGACCTCTCTCTTCCTTGCACCCACACCCAGCCACCCATCCCATCTTTGCTCCTTTTATTAAACCAAGAAATTGCCTTTCTTCCTATTGAAGTCCAGTTATTGACACGTTCTCTTGATCTTATCCCATCTTGCTTCCTCAAGGAGTCTCCCTGATGACTTCAATGTCTTCCTCTCTGCTGGAGCATTCCATCAGCCTGCAAACACAACATCTCCTGATTTTATATACATACATATTAATATAGGCACACATAGCTTTATATTATACTCCTCTTCTGCCCACTCATCCACTGAACAATCTCAGAGCTCCAGTTTCCCTTCTGGAAACAAGCTAACTTCTTTTTTAAGGGCTTTCTCTTCTTTTTCTTTTTTTAAATACATTTAGATTAGTTTTATGTTTTACTTTTTTATTGGAGTATACTTGATTTACAATGCTGTGTTAGTGTCTACTATACAGCAAATTGATTCAGTTTTACATATATATGCATTTTAAAATATTCTTTTCCATTAGGATTTATCATAGGATATTGAATATAGTTCCCTGTGCTATACAGTAGGACCTTGTTATTTATGCATCCTATATATAATAGTTTACATCTGCTAACCCCAACCTCCTACTCAATCCATACCCTAATCCCCTCTCCCTTGGCAACCACAAGTCTATCCTCTATGTCTGTGAGTCTGTTTCTGTTTCATAGATAGCTTCATTTGTGTCATATTTTAGATTCCACATATAAGTAATATCATATAGTATTTGGCTTGTCTGTTTGATTTTCTTCACGTAGTATGATAATCCCTAGGTACTTCCATGTTGCTACATTGACATAGTTTTGTTCTCTTATATGGCTGAGTAGTATTCCATCGTGTGTATGTATGTATATATGTGTATATATATATATATATCTCGTATCTTCTTTATCCATTCATATGTTGATGGACATTTAGATTATTTCCATGTCTTGGCTATTGTGAATAGTGCTCACAATAGGAAAGTTCTTGAGATAGTTGTCTGCACAAGTGGTCACCCTACTTGCCTCCCTATTCATTGCCTCCACACTTCGCCAAGGCTGCTCCCATGATGTCACATGTAATCACCCATACTTTTTGGTCCCTTGGTTCTCTAGCTGCACATTCTATACTTTTCCCTACTTTTAAAGTCATTTCTATCTTTTGCCAACATCTCCTCCTATACCCAACTGATAAGTATTAGAGTTTCCAGCATGACCCCAGCGTCACTACTCATATTTCTTGAGAACTCTTTCCCCAAGAGTCTTATCTCTTCTCATGCCGTTAACTACTATCTCTATGTTACCCACACCTGAACTTGTAACTCCAGTCAAATCTTTTTTCTTCTGGGAAGAGAAAAATTGTATTTAACTGTTTTCTTGTCATCTCAGGAGCATCTCAGATTTAACAAGATCCTTCTGAATAGTCTGCCCACCTTAACTAAAAGCAATTTCCCATCCCAACACTTCTGTCTCTGTGAGTGGCACCATCAAACACCCTGTTCAGTTCAGTTCAGTTCAGTTCAGTCATTCAGTCATGTCCGACTCTCTGCAACCCCATGAATCACAGCACACCAGGCCTCCCTGTCCATCACCAACTCCCAGAGTTTATTCCAACTCATGGCCATTGAATCAGTGATGTCATCCAAACATCTCATCCTATGTTGTCCCCTTCTCCTCCTGCCCTCAATCTTTCTCAGCATCAGGGTCNGATGTAAATATGTGAATCCCCTACTCCAAAACCCTGATGACCTGACCCATGCCTTGCTTCCCCTTGTTTATTCTGGCCACTCTCTCCCTTGCCCACTCTCTCCTGCTATACTTACTTCCTTTCAAGCCTTTGAGCACATTCATCTCCTTTATGACTCAGGGCCTTTGCAGATACAATTCCTCTTTTCCCCACTTCTCACATGGATGACTCCTCATCCTTCAGGTCCTCACTCAAATGCCATTTCCTCAAAGGCCTTCCAGCGCCAGCTTACTAGAGAGTGGTGAACCGTGTGTCTATTACTCCATCAGGTTTTATCCTTCATAAAATTCATGAACATCTCTCTGTTCGTGTGCTTTTTTCCCCTCTTTCTTCCCCAGTAGAGTGGAAACTCAAGGTAACACAGCCCAGCCATATTTTATGGAGCACCTTGTATCTGGTGCAGAGGGAAACGCAGAGACTTTTTGTACCTCTGTACTTTCCCTTGTGCTTTCCTTGCTGCCTTTCCCAAGGCTGTTAGTGACACCCACAGCCTCCGCTGATGCTTCCCTGTGCCGAGGAGCAGGTGGTGGAGAGGTTGGGTTTCCCACCACTAGCACCACTGGTTCCAAATAAAGAAAAGAGTTTGTCAAGGCTGTGTATTGTCACCCTGCTTATTTAACTTATATGCAGGGTACATCATGAGAAATGCTGGGCTGGATGAAGTACAAGCTGGTATCAAGATTGCCGGGAGAAATATCAATAACCTCAGATATGCAGATGACACCACCCTTATGGCAGAAAGTGAAGAGGAACTAAAAAGCCTCTTGATNGTGATGGACAGGGAGGCCTGGTGTGCTGTAGTCCATGGGGTCTCAAAGAGTTAGACACGACTGAGTGACTGAACTGAACTGAACTGAGCACCACAGGTGATAGGCATGTGTGGAGAGTCCATGGGCACTTCTGACCCATCCTCTGGGTGCTACAGCTAAACCAGGTTCTCTGGAGCCATCAACATCCAGAAGCCATGTGGAGGAGGCAGACACCCCTTTCCCTTCCTGTGCCAAGTTTTGTTAGCTGGATGCCAAAGCGCAGTATATCTTCTACTCTCCTTATCTCTCCTGTCTTAGAACAGAGTTCTTCAAATTTGCTTTTAAGAACTCAGGAAAACACAGAGCCCCCAATGTTGCTACAGTATTTTGTTTAGTTATGTTTGTGTCCTGTTTTGTTGAACATGGGAAAAGTAAATAACATAAGCATATTCTGTGTCTTCTATGTTATCCAGTACTACTACATCATTTCAATGAACTCAGTCTATTTGTAACACATGAATGAAAATTGTAATTACATTATTAAATAACGTACAGAGGTTTTGGCAATTATTTGGAAAGAAAAAATGGTTTAAAAAAAATTAGGTCTTTAGTTGGTATGTGACAATCTCAGCATGCCCCAGAACAGTGTATAAAGAATTGGCATTGCCAACCGAAGTGTTATATTGATCTCTTTGAGCATATCAGATAGCAACCATTGATCCCATCTACACATTTTTTAAATGGCATTATACCAAAAATAGTTTGTTAGTGCTCGGTTCTCAAAAGAATCCTTTAACACTTAAAAGTGGTTGACACACTACTTAAACCTGGAAGATTCTAGAAAAAAGAAGCACTTTCTGTTTCCCTTTTTACTTAAAATTTTTGTTTTGTTAGCAACCCCACATGTCTGTAAGACAAAAATAGAGACCCCCAGGTTAGTTAACATGATAAACCTAAGTCCCCGCCATCACAATATATTCCAGATCCACCAGCAACAGCCTCAGTTGGTTGTTTATTAGGCCAAGCCTGGCTCCTTTAAGACGAATTCCCTTCAAGAGGGATGTGTGTATGACAATCTCTTAGCATTCACCCTTCTTGGTGAATTGATGTACCTTCTCACAGCTTAGACTCAATCTGAAATCTTCACTCTCCTGGCTTGAAGAATGAATAAATGAGTAAAAGGAGTGATTGCATGAAATAAAGCATTAATTTACCTGATAGTAGAAAATCCATTGCCTGCTCACTGTATGGTTTAATGAAAAGTGTTCTGTCTTTCCAGGTCATAGAAGACAGTTTTAAGATAGAAAAGGATAAAGTGAAAGCAAAATCTCCCAAGGAGAAGAAGTCCCCATCTGCCAAGGTTGCCAAAGGAAAGGGAAAGGACCAGCCAGAGGCAAACATTGCCGTGAAAAAGACCACCCAGTTAGTGAGGAGGGGAGAAGAGGATGACACCAAACAATACATTGGTCAGTGAAATGCTCCTTTCACTTCTTGACTTATGACCTACGAACTTGAGAAACCATTCCAGTCACTATGCTTAATCTTCCCCAGGCTTTCCCCTTTTTTAAAACCATTAATCCCATGCTGCCCATGACACCTTGGTAGAAAAATATTTCTACTTGCAATTCATTTATGTTTTCAGCCAGTATTTCTTTAGCATGTGTCGTGCTATAGGCATATTTTCACAGTGCAAATAAAAGATGAAGTCACAAGCTGATTGTGCTACCAAGCAGCTTAGTGTCTATTTGGGAACATTTTGAGAAAGTCAGAGACACTTGTAAGGCAAAGCAAAAAGTAATTATTGTCACAAATGAAATACAATACCAATAAAATCAGACCAGTTAATTTGTGAGTCAAGTAGAGCATGTAGCTTCCTGACCTCAACTTCTCCTAGTGTTTGTCCTAGATAGAGCAACCAGAATTTTCTTTCATTTAGATTGTCTATATAAAAACTGTTCACCTTAGACAGCTATGAGTTATTTCTCCCTTCCCATGAATCTAAATGGAGCTTCTGTTGTTATGCACATTGTATTTAAATGAGATGGCAGGTCTTCACATTCTTTACCAATTTGACTCTCATAATACATCTCTGCTCTAAACCTACTTACTTAGGAGCAATTATATTATGGACTTCATGGACAGCATCAATGCTGATTTGTTTTAGTAACTGAAGAACAATCACTACTTGAAGATCGAAACTTTGTGCATCTGTTGCTCTATTTTTAAGTTGATCTTAATGAACCATCATGAGATGTAATGTTTCCATGTACCATCTAGTACTGATATCAAAGTATGACAATTTTTCTCACCCCTCAGAATCTAACATTCTAATATAAATTCATGTTCTAACACTAATAGAACAATGTAGCCAGGATAAAGTCAAGGAGAAAAATTTTAGGAATGTGCACAATATGTATTTTAAAATTGAATGCAATAAATAATATTGTTGCTACATAACCAATACTCTGCATCCACACCTATTGACATAAACACACAGAATGCTTTGGTAGGGAGTATGTTCATATTCAATATTTCCCTCTCCTGTAAACACCTCTACTTATAAAATATCACAAAGCTTCAGCTACTCGTAATTCAGGAGTAAAGCCAGATGTTGCTCAAGAGATTAGAACCAAGAAAAATTACAACCTAGACTTTTTTTTTTCCCATGAAAACCCAAACACATTTTCCATGACGACAGGCCCTCTGTATGTTTGTCTTTCTATTATGCCTTTGTCTCATTTGCAACAGTGATTTAATATTTTGTAAAATGGCCACAGCCTTCTTACTGGAAGGGCAATAATGAAAACCAGTCAACAGGATTGCATTCCAGCCAACCCCACTGCTCTTGGCAAGCCCCGGGGATGATAAACGCATGCATAATGTATGGAGCCATTGAACTGGCTGCGTGCAACCTGTTCTCTTTTAAAATGATGGCTGCTCTTCTCTACGGTATTTTTTGAACAGACGATGAGCCAGATGACGGTGCCCAGCATTACTTTATAGTCGTGGGCTTCAACAATCCTCAGCTATTAGCGATCATGACGGAGCTTGGCATTCCCATAAGCAGCGTGATTAAAATATCTTCAGAGAATTATGAACCTCTGCAGACACACCTGGCAGCAGTTAGCCAACAGCAGGAAAGTTTTCTTCAGCCAGAAGGTATGCAGTCTGCTAAGCAACTTACCGAATCCTTCAATATTACCCACTGTCCTTAAAGAACAAATACAACTTTCTGTCCAAAACATAGTCCTACGATACACACATTGTTAAATCCTTTTGAGACCGATTTGCTGTTTATGCTGCTTGCACGAGCCAGGTGTTGTAAATTTTGCAAATTCAAATCATACCCTTTGTTTCTATCCCTGCCAGCCACAGAGAACATAGAGTTGGTTATCCAACTCCATTTCTCAGGAATTTTGATATGTAACTTTTACCTAAAGCATGCGCTGGGTGGATCAACTATGGAGAATCGTTTCTGCCAGCAGCCACAGTCACCAAATGGCCCTGGGGGCCGGGGGGGGGTCATCACTTTGGATTCTTGCTTGGCTTTGCTACTGGCTTATTGTGACAAATCAGAAGGGGTGCTTTTATTCCGGGCCTTGGACCAGGAAGCTATAGGATGAAGCCCCACCTACACTGCTGTTCAGCTATCCTGAGCCTCAGGGTCTTCCTCGAAGGGAATTGAACCCGACTCCCTCTATGGGAAGGGAACAAAACTCTACTGTGTGGGTACTAGAATTAGGATTCAGCATAAGCCTCTGTGACCTGGAAGTTCATGCTCTTTTTGCCATATGCTGTTTCACCTTTTTGTTATTTATTAGTAATATTTTTTTGCACAGGACTTTGTAACCTACACAGCCACATCCCAATTTCTATAACACGACATTTTAAAATTTGCCATTCCAGGTTAGAAATAGCTAACCTTGATAATAATAATAGCTACCATTTATTGGGCATAGGCCTTGGAACTTGGCTTAATGCTGAGGGCTTTAAGTGTGTTGATTCATGTAGTTTCCATGACAACCCTTGGAAGTATGTTTTATTATTTCCATTTTACAGGAAACGACTTTCAGTCTAGGGGCAGCTATTAAATAAAAGAGCCAGGATTCAAATCCAGCTACTCCTGTCTCAAAGGCTAGTTGTAACATTAAATAATTATTGTTGAAGCCAATGAGAAAATGCTGACTCCTCTGCCCATGGAATTCTCCAGGCAAGAATACTGGAGTGGGTAGCCATTCCCTTCTCCAGGAGATCTTCCTTACCCAGGGATCGAAGCCAGGTCTCCTGCATTTTACCATCTGAACCACCAGAGAAACCCATAAGTTCCATAGTCTTTCTATTAAAAAAATATTTAATATATAAAAATAAAATCACAGAAAGAGAGACTTTAGAATAATGAGATCTTAGTAGTAGGACCTATTTAGTTGTAGATGGAAAGAAACAAAACATGTCAGACAAATTTTCAAGTGTAACTTTATGGAAAACTGTTGTTATTTTAAAGTCAGAGGACAAATGCCCAGAGAAGCTAGTAGCTATTTCAATGTGGCCTAAAGTTAACTGGAGCAGAAATCATGGATCCAGTGTGTTTTTAGCCACACAGAAAGGAAAACTGGATCAATTGCAGTTATGCATCAAACAAATGCTAAAATGGTCAAAAAGTGGTTGGGCAGGAAAATTGCTCTTCTACAAATACAGCATAGGAGTGATGGAAATATTGGCCATAGTTAGCTCCCAAAATGTGTGACCTTATTATTATCTTTCTAGGCTTCAACTATAAAATAAAGGGGTTGGAAAAGCTCATATTTAATAATAATTTCAGAAGTAAAATCCTCTGATGTTTAATTATATAGTCCAGGTCCAAACACTTCTCAAAATTACCTTTATTTGTATTTTCTGGTACTGTACAGACATTGGGCAATGTATATGACTCACCACAAGCACTGCAAGTGGGATGAAATTCAGCACTCTCATTTTGCAGTATAAACATGTTGCTCTTATTAGAAATAGAAGCTGAAAAACTGAAGAAAGAGAATGGCATAAAAGAACTTGAAATCTTCTGGAAGTACTTGGAACCAATCCTGAATAACCAGAAACCAGAAACAAATCTCTTTGATGTCGCTCGGCTTGAATACACGGTCAAGGCTGACAAGTTTCCTTCTGACTGGTCAGACAGCGAGATGTTGGTTAGTACATGCATTAGTGAGACTGACTAGTTTGAACATGTGACACTGTGCTTCCATTTGCCCCATCTGTTCATTCCACAGATATTTATTGATCACTGTCTATAGAGAAGGTTTTGTGCTAGGCTGGTTTATCTTTAAGACAGTGGGCACATTGAATGTCTTATAATGGCTATAGCCTGATACTTTAACTTTTAGTGTATGAATTAATGTCAAAAGAATAAGATGTAGATGAAGATAAAGCATGGTAATTATTTTATTTGGTGACATGTGGGTTTGCTTCATACCTTAAGGTTCTAGGCAGCAGAGTCTTAATATATATAAATTATGAAAATACTGAATTTTGCAGTTTGTTGAATTACATTGTCTTTCTTTTTTATACATTAGTTCAAAACATTGTTCTTCTAGGTCCTTGCTTTTATTGCCAAAATTGTATTTTTAATTTATTTGCCCAACAAGTTTTATCTTAATAGAATGACTTGACCCCAAGCCAACAATTAGCAGGCATTTCCTGAGTGTATTTATTGGCCCCCTGCTATTGAGGTACTTGCAGAAAGGCAAGACCAAAATCATGAAACAGAGAAGCCGTGTCCAAGATGCCACACATCTACGTGCTCTGTTATATGAAACACTCTTGTTTTTCACTAATTCAGAAAAAGAAGAATTAGGCTGATCTGAAAAGTAACAAAATCTGTATATATGAGGGTGTTTTAAAAAAAAGAATGTTGAGCAACTGCTTATCACAGATGTTGGGGAAGATATCCGTATCCAGACATTCCTGTTATAAAAAAAGAGACCTCTCAGGTCTCTTCTGGCTGACCACCATGGCTCCCAACAAACAGGGGACCAGGAGTGTTGAATCCCTTACAGGGTAATATATGTCAGTATTGAAAGGACTTGAACTGAAAGCAGAGTCCCGGAGAAGGACCACATCAAGGTGTCCTGAAGGAAGCTGGGAGAAACAGGATGGAAGGGGAGGATGACTGTCTGTGGACAGTGACTGTGGGTAGCTCCCAAAGAAACAAAATGCAAACCTGACGGTCTAAGAGGAAAAGAATGACATCAGATCCTGGAGTTTCTGAGCCAAAGGGTAGGCTGCTCGTGACCATGGGTTGCCACATGGCCAGTTCTCACTATGAGAATCCCTGCTTCTGTTACCTTGAGATGGATGTGCACTGGGTGAATTACGTGAAAACACCGAGGAGGGAAGCCTAGATTTGAACCCTGAAGGACAGACAGGATTTGAATAAGTAGCAGTGGATACATCAGGTTGAGTGACAAAGAATGTCAACATGAGGTATTAGATGTTACCATGTAGAAACAGAACACTTAAGTCTCATACTATTGGCAACTATTGTTATTGTTGTTTAGTCACTAAGTTGTGTCCAACTCTTTGCAACCCCATGGACTGTAGCCTACCAGGCTCTTCTGTCCATAGGATTTCCCATGCAAAAATACTAAAGTGGGTTGCCATTTCCTTCTTCAGGGGACCTTCCTGACCAAGTGATCAAACCCGCATCTCCCATGTCCCCTGCATTGGTAGGCAGATTCTTTACCACTGAACCATCAGGGAAGTCTACCTTGACAGTAGTAAGAATAAATACTAGCCTTGATGGGAAGATCCCCTGGAGAAGGGAATGGCTACCCACTCCAGTATTCTGCCTAGAGAATTCCATGGACAGATGAGCCTGGCAGACGACAGTCCATGGGGTCACAAAGAGTCAGACACAACTAAGTGACTTTCACCATCACTAAGATACATGGAAACAAAGCTGAACATAGAAAATCTGTGTCTGAAGGCAAAGCTGGTTATTGTGAAATCCCTCTGCTTTGCATCACCCCATCCCTTCATCTAGATATCTTCCTCTGTCCTGGTTTGTGTTTCACTCCCCTGCCTCCTAAACCGGAGCTCAGAAGAGTCCACCTGTCCTTTACTAGTCCATGTTAAGTCGGGCCATGTTTCTCTATCCCAGAGATACTGGCATTCCAGGCACTGTCATACTGTGACTACTCCATCCTGTTTTCTTGGAGTTCTCGATTATGCCCAGCAAATGGGAAAGAGGCTATAGCCCTGGGATCCTGAAACACCATCTCAAAGGCAGCTGTCTACTCTATCTTGATGATAAACCAGCTCTTCTTCCGAGAATTTAAAAATTTATCCTAACTTAAAAACTCACATCCACAAATTTAAGTTTTGTGAAAACATTTCCTCCTCTCATTTGGGCCAAGTTTTGGCCACATACCTTCGAAAGAACTTATGTGCAATTTTGATTTAATAGAGCATAGGAGATCCCAGCCATATAGATCTTGAATCCTCTGTCCATGGGATTTCCCAGGCAAGAATACTGGAGTGGGTTGCCATTTCCTTCTCCCGGAGATTTTTCCTGACCCAGGAACTGAACTTACATATCCTGTGTCTCATGCTTTGCAGGCAGATTCTTTACCTGCTGAGCCATCGGGGAAGATGAATCATAATTAAGGGGAGGCAATACAAAGAGTCTTCTAAGGCAGGCTCAAACCAAGAACGTTTTGCTCCTGCTCTAACTAGGGCTCCGTTCTGTGTGTCTTATGCCCTCCCGAGGCAGAGGCTGAGAGGAGCTGATGTGCATTGAGCTCAGGGTGGAAGACATTCCATTGCATCCTCAGTACATAGATGTGAACATCAAGACACACAGTTGCAACTCCAAAAGACTCAGCACCATTCACAGCATCCTGTTTCCTATGCCAGTATTAAAAGCTTTCTGTTCATTAGATTTTAATCACTCCATTTTAAAAACAGTTTTTTATTATTTTTTTGGCTACACCATGTGGCACATGGAATCTTCATTCCCAAACCCAGGATCGAATTGGTATCTGCTGCAGTGGAAGTGCAGAATCTTAACCATAGGACTGCCAGGAAGGTCCCTAATCACTCCATTTTTAAAGAAAGTGAATGTGGCTATATTTTCCTTTTTAAAAATATAGAGTAGAAGAGTTTAAATGGCAATTAAAGTTAAGAACTTTCATGTTGAAAAAGTAATATCAGTTTGAAATACTGTTGGGACTTTCCTGGTGGCCCAGACGGTAAAGAATCTGCCTGCAATGCAGGAGACCCAGGTTCAATCCCTGGTTCAGGAAGATCCCCTGGAGAAAAGGAATGGCTACAGACTCCAGTGTTCTGGCCTGGAGAATTCCATGGACAGAGGAGTTTGGCAGGCTACAGTCCATGGGGTAGCAAAGAGTTGGACATGACTAAGACTTTAACACACTGCTCCTTATGCATATATACTCCTGACTTCAGAAGTAGAAGATTAATGTCTAGAGTTGGGCCATGAGGTAAATGAGGAAGGTAAATGAGGAAATGAGATCAATCAACTGTGCTGCCTGAGTGGACATACCAATCTTCTATCAGCCATTTTGCAAGTATTTATTGAACATCAGCTTCATGCCAGAGCCATGATCTGGGTCCACCTGCAGCAGACTTTTAGAGTCAAGGCATACGTTTGCAAGGTCCAGTTTGTGAGTGAGCAACCCAGCACAAATAATGATGGACAAAGAAAGCCTTAAAAGCAGTTCAGTAACAGAGTTGGGTTTCAGAAGAAAAGACCTTTGGGTTTAATACTGAAAATCAAAATTCATTGTAAATTTAGGATCACTTGAAAAATATAGAAGTAATAAACCTATTTCTAATACAAGTAGCCTACATACATACTGTAGATAGACAGTATTCCACTCTCAGCTCTATCTGTAAGTTGATAATGGCCTCACATCCAAGCCAGGAGCCAGCCAAGTAGTCGTCTTTGTCTCTGGAAGAAGGAAAGCATTAGTACCTTTGGCTGCAAACAAGCAGGCTGTATTTCTGCTGAACCCAGGTAACGAAAGCTTTACATCAAATAAATGCCCATCAAGAAGTGCTAACTGCCTATGGACGACATCTGCAACATCTCAAGTTAAGCCCTGGGTTGCTGAAATAATTTTCTGGCTTTTAGCATGTGATTTGCTGTTTGATTTAAAAAGAAATTAGCTAGTTAAGCTAAGGGATAATTGACCAGAAGCTTTTACTCTATTTTTTATAAATACAGGCACGCAAAAATATGTTTCTGTGCCAGAATGTGGGCAGAGAATATCAGGTTGAAGTTTTACTGAGAAATTCTCAGCCCTGGAGGGGACCCGTGAAGCCCAGACTAAGGTGTGCTATAAGGATGTGCAAAGCTGGCTTGTCTCTGAACTCCTGCCAGGCTGAGTCACTGGCCCCGCTAGGAGCTTTCTCACTCTACCTTAGCACTTCAGCTCGAACACAGGAGGAGCCTATCTAACCCTCCTTTGCTTTCAAGCAGACTTAATGATAACTATGCTTTTCCACTTCTGGAAATGAAAGCCAAGGTAATAGAGATATCTGATCTATGACCTGCTTGCCAGATCATAAAACTTGCAGGTATCATGGAGTACTGGTCTATCAGGATCTGTTAGGGTTTTCTCCCTACAGATAGCACAGCGAGGAGAGGAAGAAATCCTGATTGCACACACACTGCAGTCTGCTGCTTGCATGGAGAGCGTGGGAGAATCCATTGCAATTCTTGTGTGGCCGAGCAAGAGCTCAGCCCCAGCTTGCCTTGGGCTGAGGATGTGGAAATTACCTATCTATCTCATGAGTTGCTTCAGGAATGGAGATGCCTAGAAAATAGGCCTCTCTGCTGAAACGAATGAATATGGCATTTTCTACCTTGTTGAAGCATTAATCAGACTCTTACAATACTAGGCAGCCAGAGGCCCTCCAAAGGGAACAGCCTGCATTGTGGTGAAGGGCCAGAAGGGTTCAATGGTTTGGGGACCAGCTGGGGAAGGGCTTCCCTGTGAAAATCATAGGTTTGGCTTTATGGGAGATACAAACCATACATCTGATTCCAACAATATAAAGCTAAGAGCTAATTGTCGTTAATTCTCACCCGTAGCTGGAATTGGGCACCGAAATATTTGAAAATGTTGCCTGTTTGATGTACGACACCCTGGATTGGAAAAGGCAGCACCAGCACTATTTGGAAAGCATGCAGCTTATTAACGTCCCACAGGTGGTTAGTGAGAAGCCTATCTTTGAAGTGACGGTGATTCCTGAGGTAGGCACATTGTGGAGTGTCTTTAATGGGCCGAATGATTCATTGAACAACTTAATTTTCACATTTATAAAACATACGAAGAAAAAGATCACAAATATTGGTAGCAAGGGGACTCTGCCTGCTGGTATTTAACAGGTAAGTGTGGGATCAAGGACCCCAGGCACAGTATTAAAGGTATCCATATGGTGGGGACTTTATGAAGCTCCCCAACTACCTACCACACACAGAGGGGATGATAGAACCTGCTTTTCAGCCATGGTACAATAAACAACATCTGGAACCAGGAGGGCTATTGATAATTTAATCACCGTGTTTATGTGCATGCTAACTCCCTTCAGTAGTGTCCGATTCTGAGACCCCATGGACTCTGCCTGCCAGGCTTTTCTGCCCATGGGATTCTCCAGGCAAGATTACTGGAGTGGGTTGCCATGCCCTCCTCCAAGGGATCTTCCCCATCTAGGGGTCGAACCCGCATCTGTTATGTCTCCTGCCTTGGCAGGCAGGTTCTTTACCACTAGCACCACCTGGGAAGCCCAACCGTTGTTATTTAACACCTACTCTGTGCTGGCACTGTACCAGGGGCTGGCAATACAATAATGAACAATATCCACCCCCTGTCCTCCTCGCTGAGGTTAAGCTTTAAAGGCAGTCAAGTCAAAGGTGGTTGCAATTTAGCATGATGAGTGCTGGGAGGATAGTCAGCTGAGGTTTCAGGAGAAGCTATAAATATGGCACCTAACCTGCTCCTGAGAAGAGGAGGTTAGAGAGATGGAAATCAAGAAGGCCTTCCCAGGCAGAGTAAGTGATCGGCTGAAGGCTGAGGATGAATTGCCTGGGTAAACCCTGGTTGGGGAGAGGGACAGGGTGGTACTCTCAAGAAAGGGGCAAAGATGTTACAAAGACAGGGAGGTCAAAACAAAGAAGTATTATGGCCAGAACCACACCACAGGGTGGGCAGTGCTTCCAGGCCATACGTACAGAGTGGAGAACAGCAACAAAAGCTGGAAAGGTGGGAGCCAAGATGTTCTTCTGTGCTGAGCTCAAGAGTTTGGGTTTTGTCCTGAAAGCAACGGAAACCATTCAAGGATTCTCAGAGGGAGACTGGCATGATTCTGAGTCACCCTAGGGAAGAAAATCTTGACTCTTGGTGCCCCATCTTCCCACCCCTTTCCTGGTAATGACTTCAGTTCAGTTGCTTAGTTGTGTTCGACTCTCTGTGACTCCATGGACTGCATCACGCCAGGCCTCCCTGTCCATCACCAACTCCTGGAGTTTACTCGAACTCACGTCCATTGAGTTGGTGATGCCATCCAACCATCTCGTCCTCTGTTGTCCCCTTCTCCTTCCACTTTTAATCTTTCCCAGCATCAGAGTCTTTTCAAATGAGTCAGCTCTTCACATCATATGGCCAAAGTATTGGAGTTTCAGCTTCAGCATCAGTCTTTCCAATTAATATTCAGGACTGATTTCCTTTAGGGTGGACTAATTGGATCTCCTTGCAGTCCAAGGGACTCTCAAGAGTCTTCTCCAACACCACAGTTCAAAAGCATCAATTCTTCTGCACTCAGCTTTCTTTATAGTCCAACTCTCACATCCATACATGACTACTGGAAAAACCATGGCCTTGACTAGATGGACCTTTGTTGGCAACGTAATGTCTCTGCTTTTTAATGTGCTATCTAGGTTGGTCATAACTTTCCTTCCAAGGAGTAAGTGTCTTTTAGTTTCATGGCTGCTGTCACCATCTGCAGTGATTTTGGAGCCC